AAAACAGTCTCCTCTCCCCAGCACAACAAAACACTGCAGGTAGGAGTGGGAAGGACACCGTACCGAAGAAAGGGCAAATGAAGATCCTGCCTTTGCTTGTCCTGAAATCTTAACTATGCTCACAACCATTTGCACCATTATTTGTACCCTCTCAAAGACCAGAACCCCTAGGATTTTCTGCCGTATGGTCTGCAAACTCTTGTATCCTGAGAAATTCCATTTTACTGGTTAAAAAAACAAGTTCCTTGGACAAGGACTAGGAAAGGAAAGAGGAACAGAAAGAAATGAAGTGATCTGTCCAAGGGCACACTGCAAGCCAACAGCAGAGCCAGGACTGGACTACAAGTACCGTCACCTCCTGGCCCTCCTCTACGCTCAGGGCTGTCCAAGTCTCACCAGTACCAGGGCAGCACTGCATCATCACATCACACCCAAGAGCAAAGATGTAGCTGGAGCAGGGCTTTCTTCTCCATCTAAACTGTAACGGTTTTAGCACTTGTAAACAAAAGTACTAATCCATCCAAAAGAGCAATAACAACCTCAGAACTAAGAAGGATTGGGGGAAGTATGTATTTTCCACTGCCATTAACATAAGACATTGAAATTTTACTATTATATCTGCAGGAACATTCTAATTTTTAACCAACTCCCCTTCCACCTCCCATACAAAGACCTAAGGAAAGATTTTGTGAGTGCCATGTTTCAAACATCTGGCCTGCATATCAATGTTTTCTGCATCGCACCCATCAACAAGATCACCTCATTCTGAACTTGTTATTTTTCTCCCCAATGCAAATTCAGATGATTTAGTGGCTCCATCTGCTTTGTCAAAAGTGCCCAGACACCTCAGCTATATTACTCATTGAATTGCTTTAGGCGTAGCAGCCCAAACATGAAATGTGTTACGTTACAGTTTTGCATCTTTATGGAAAAATGCTTGCTGTAAGAACCTAATGGTTCTTTGTATAATGCATTAAATACATATTTATTTTAAATTAAAATCTGGTCTTTTTCTAAGATTTTAACACCATACTGAATTCCAAGAAGCTTGCAAACTCCAAAGATTGGAGAAAGGAAGCAAGAGTGGAAAAACAGGCAAGAAATCTCTATTCAGTGCATTCTTGAAATGTGAGTAAATTAATTAAGTATTCGGTTTATTCAGCAAAATACCAGAGTACATCAAAAGTGTTCCCGGGCAATAAAAGAGCAGATTAAAAAAGAGTAAACACATATTTCTTCATTTGCCTACAGTTCAGTATCACATAACTATTTACCTCTTGTTCTCACACACCATGGACCTGTGGCCAGGATGCAGGCATCCCAAACCTAAGTTGGGGCTTCAGGGAGCCACGGGGCCTCCACGCACCTCGGATCCCAGCTTGCAAGAGTTGGAAAACGGCACAAGATAAACCTCCATCAAGACAAACCCATTATTGACAGCAGGATGCTTCCACGCAACAAAATACCAAATCGCAGAAACACAAGATAGGTGCTTGGAGAAACAAAGCGGCCAAAATGTTATCAAATGGACACAATGGATGGCTCACAAGCACAGAGAGCTTGATGTTCATCCAAGCAGACAACTCCAAGAAGCCACTGCATGTATGCTTAAAATCAGAACCTGAAATTGTTACAAATTCCTCCAGAAACACTGTCCGGCTTATCAAAATACAAAGACCAGCAAGAGAGCTGTAATCGATGTAATTTTTTTTTTAATTTTCTCTGCCATTAAGCTTTCACTACAATTTCCACTTCCATTTGCATCATTTGTTTGAAAGGACAAGATGGTTATTGCTTTTCTTAATCAGAAATCAACAGTTCTGATCAAGAGTAGCTATCTTTATTTTTATGTCTCTAAACTGTTTTATTTATATATATCCATCTATAAATAAAAAATTAATAAAATATTTTGACACTATTCTCAAAGAGAATAACTATCAACTAATATTCACACCGCACCAGCAACGTGTCAGTGACTGTAGTATGGCAAACAAGTCTGCAAGATTTTTGAGGCTACTAAGACTAATAAAAGTAACAACTATAGAATAGATCTTTTCTCTTTTTTCTTTTTTTTTTTTTAAGAAATTCCCTTCCTCACAAAGACAGCACCTTCAAAGTACAGTAACTTAAGCAGCATGTGGCATTTACATTTTCATCTAAATCTTTAAAGAAGACCATTATTTCCGTAGATTTGAGAAAAGAACCCTGCTTTATTTCACCACACCAGCCATAAATTATTCATTAATTCTGTTTGCTAACTCTGTAACTGAGCCCAGATGTTTCTGCTGGAGAGGCATTCCAAAAGAAAAGTTAAATATAGCAAGCTGTGTGGAAGGAGCAGACCTCACTCTCTCCCCCAACCACAGCATGCTCAAATATTACTTGAGAGAAAATAATGAAAATATTTGGAAAACATTCGAAAAACATTCTGAATATGTGAGTTTGTGAAATGCCACAATCTGATCACAAAATTTCATTTAAAAGAGCCCCCACACATTCCACTTCGGTGTACTTGAAGTTACTGGTCCTGTCTCTGGGAAAGGTGCTGGCACTTTCACTCGCCAGAGTAAATAGAAAATTTATAAGCAGAGGAACACTCCTTGCCGTGCATCATTTACAAATACAAATCAAGACTTAAGTTTTCAATTACAAGAAAGGCTTCAGAGCCAGCTACCAACTGCAATAACCATGTTGATGAAGAACTGAGAGCATCCTATGAAATTTCTTACGGAATTGACACAGAAACTTACTGGTGCGAATTTTAAATCCATTTCAGTACTTCAGAAGAACTTTGACCATTTTACACTAGCAAAGATGATTAATGCTGACATTTATAATCTAACACTAAGAACGCAGTCCTGTTGAACAGAACGGAAACTATTGCCTTCAGTCACTGTTTCTAGTACTCTTCAGCAACTGTTTTAAGCTGGTTTGGAAATGCCAGTTTTAAATTGGAAACTATTCCTAATCATGATGTGGTTGGAGAAAAAGAGAAAGACGCAGGGTTGAGCATTGCAGAGCCACATTCTTTGAAGTTTGGAGACTATTCTCAGGCATGTAACACTTCTTCAGTTGTGAATAACGATCACAGGAGAGATTTTGAGAGGTCATCTAGTCCCTTTGCTCTGCTCCAAGACAAGATCAATCCTTCTTAAACCAATCTTCGCCAAATCTGTTCTTAAAAATTTCCAGTGTTTACAGATTCTGTAAGATGACTTTGCAGAGGGAGGGTATTTTGAGGAAGCTGTTATAGACTGGTGTGGTAATGACGCCACTGACTTGGTACCAGGTATCAGCTGCTGTCATCCAACTTTGCTGCACTTGTGCCTTGTACTCAAACTTGTTCTTTAACCACCTGTGTCCATAGGAGACTTTGCAAAATATCTTAAGTCTAACTGTACTGTTAACAGAGGGCACCCTCTCACTAGCTAGCAAACAGGCAAATAAACCTCGGTATATATACTATGAGCCACCTTAGAACACAATAAAACTCTGCCAGCTGTTCCTAAAAACACGAATATAGAGAAGAATGAAGTAATAATTTTAGCATAGGAAGACTTACTAGCACTAGCTTTAGTCTCCTCAATGCCAATAATGTTAGGAATAATGGAGTGGTAGCACAGGTCAACAATATCAAGGTAATAAATATATTTTTTTTTCCTAGTCAACGCTGTCAGAAATTTTCTTGATTTCTGGTAGCTACTCAAAGTTAGCACAAACAACAGCTACCACAGAATGTCTACCACAGGCACTGACCTCTTCATTTCACTGTGTAGACAGATCTTAAGGACATCTCACTTCTACTTCAGAGATCAGCTGGAAAGCGGCCAATAAGAAGAAAAACAGAACAAATTTTATTTAAGTTAGTCACCCTGGCAGCAACTTATAATTGAGTCCACCTATATGAGGAAATGTTTCCTCTCCAACTCCTAAGGAAGAAGAAAGTTATGCAACGCGAAACCTAGAAACTGGACCCAGTCACAGCATGTGTGGGAGACAGAAGACGACAAAGGATCTGGAGGCTCTCAGAAAATATAGACCATATGTTGGAACAGTGGAAAGTCTTCTGTGAAATCTTTGTGGTGGAGAAGAGGGGGTAGACAACAGGTGTGAAGCACCAAAAGGAGTCAAAACGAAAGAACAGAACCTACATTAGATAGCTCATCTTGAAAAACCCTTTTCTAATATATGGAGGGAACATTATAGCAAAAGAAAAAGAACTTTTCATCTCCTTTGCACTGCATGAATTTCTAGAGCACTGCTGAGCAAAATTTTTTTTGTAGAGTGAAACCAGCACCTGGTGTATTTTCTAGTTTATGCATGGTAACAGAAGCTGTAGGACAATTTCAGTTTGGACAACTAAATTTAGGAAGTGAAATATCAAACCTGATGCACTTAGCTATAAACTATACAAAACTAAGTACAATTGTTCAAAGTTACTGCTTTTAGATTGTCTTTGTTTAAGCAAAAAGCAGGCCCTCATGAAGCTGTCTGTACACCTAAATTTGTGTGTAATTGTCTTTCTCCACAGGTATTGTGTTTAAAAACAGGGATAAAACCTTAAGTCAACAGGTACTCTAACAAGAATTCAGCATGCAGCTCACTTCATAATTATAAAAAGGCTTATGGGAAAAGGAAGCCACACTTAAGATCTGTTTGGATGACCTGTTACTTAGGCAAAAAAAGAAATGTCTCAAGGAAGAATTCTGGATGTTTAATCTGTACTGATTTCTATTACAGTAATCCACAACAGTTTTAACAACCCAAATCTGAGAACCACCCAATTTTGGGAGTCTTACGTGGCCTGCTCATTTAATGCACACATACAGATGATTATATTCCAGCAGAATTAGGACCAGATGGGTTTTTCCTGTAAGCTTGACTATTTTCTTTTTTTTTTTTAATAGAAGACTTGCTTTCTGTTCATTTTTTCACAGAGAGATAACAAATATATTCAATATCTTAAAAAAAAAAAAAAAAAAGAAGAAAAGAATGTTTACTTTGGTTGTGCCAAGCAGCCAGGTGCTATAATACTGCAAGTTTCATCTGTAGTCTGCAGTGCTGTAAGTTCCACCATGTTAACCATCACATCGGTCTTGTGGCCAGGAAGCCTGGGAAGCACAGAAAGTATCTTCTCTGCAAGATTGTCACCATGATGACCCACTGCTCCTGGGGGAAAAAAGACCCAAAAACTGTCAGGTACCTAACTAGGAAAAAAAAAAAACACACAAAACAAACAACAACAAAACACACAAATAATCAAGAACAAAATAATAATCACACATTTTGGGGAGAAGGACATTGGTAGTCATAACATCAAGACCACGTTTAGCTGTTCAAAGATATTTTGCTATAAAAGTAAAATTAATTTCTGGAATGTCTGAAGTTAAAAGCATTGATAACATTTCAGAAAGATTCATTTAAAAAGCACAAATTAGACTTCGTTTTAGAGCTGTTAGATATTCACTGATTTTGCACTTAAATAGGCAAAGTATTTCTCTTTTCAATAAGAAAGTTGTTTAACAAGATTTGCAATGGTTATTAAAAAAAGCAGGCAAACATGCTCACATGCAAACTGTTCTTTTCTACTTAAACTAATAGGACTGTGCTCAAAGGGGCTGTATGCAAGTTGCGTACATAACTGCCCAGGGAGACTGGCATACTATCAAAATAAACAATTACCAACAACATACTACCATCGAGGTCATCGCTCCTACATGGACTGAGGGCAGCACAGGTGAAGCCACCATGAAAAGACTAAACCAACCCAAGTTACATAGTATAAAAAGTCAAACTGACCATGTTCCAAGAGAAACTTCGAATTACATTTGGCATGTTTTCTTCAACTCTCCTGATTTCACACACACATGCTCTTCTTTCCCTTCACCAACTCTCAACACAGGCACTAAAACCAACTTGCAAAATATTAAGACTGTAAGCCACGCCAAAGCAGAACATGACACACTCTACAGATGCAGAGAGGGGGACTAGAAACCTTATTGCCTTTAGGTCAGGAACAAGTTGAAGGTATTTGTATTCTGCCACTTTAGCTACGGTTCAGCTATCACCATAGGGCTGGACAGCAATGCTGAGCTTAGTATTGTTCTCCTGGCTTTATTCACAGGAGAATGAGGACTTCTGAAGCCTTGAGAGGCAGGAAAAAGACCTTTCAGGATATGGTTCTACTCCATCAAAGTCTGTCCATATGGCACCCTATCTGGTCTCACTCTTCATCATTTCCAGACAGAGGTCTGTTTCAACAGCTGAAGTAGCTTCACATGCTCCATAAATCCAAACAAGGCTCTTATATCAAGAACATTAGTAGGGTTAGATACAGATATCCAGTGCTCTTGGATACGCGGAAGGTTGTCTCCAGCGAGTCTACAGCAGCCAAGTATCCATGCTGAAAACCAGCTCACGGTTTATCAAGTATTCTGAATCTTAGAAGAAGTTGAAAAGAGAAGCAAGGATGAAAAGGGAGGAGAAAAGTAAAGTCAAACTTCACACTGGCATTGCTTCTATCCACAGAAGGCAAGGAAGGCACACATGTCCAGCACGTGGTGGTACTGCAATGTGGACACCTGGCTGCTCAGCTGGATTGAGATTACCAATTTGTTTCACCAGAGATTGTAATAGTCACCTAATGACAGCAACTTTCCTTTCTACCACCCCCAGACAGATTTAGACCACTGAAGTACAGATGAAATAAGCTGGGTTGTCCCTGCAACTCCCTAAGCCATCTGCTCTCCAAAATCCCTACATTCTTCTTACTAGGTCAGTCACTTGTCAGCCACACTGCAGTTATCAACACTCGCAAAGTTACAGACATGGAAAACAGATGGTAATCTTCTGAACCCCTCCACCCTCATGTACTAGAAGCAATGCCTATCTCTCCACACTTGCTGCACACAAGCGACGTTTAGCTAGACGAGACGTTTAGCTAAACTGGAAACACCTCAAATGCAAACAAACTCACGTCAATTATTAACAGCCCTCCTTTCTCCTTGGTAGAGGGGGAAAGTCTCGGTGTATTTAAGTTGCTTCCACAATCAGCAAGTGCCATCTCAGTCTCCTTCTCACAACTGCTGCTTCTTGGAGGCTCCCACTGGTCAACAAGCACTAATGGCTTTAGCTCTGCCTCCTCGAATCAAACAGAAAACATCTCCTGGAGCTTTTAAAAATCCCTGTCACCCTTGACCAACTATGCAAACCAACCAAGGCTGGGAAGACAATTAAACCTCATGAGACCAGGACAGGAAATCATGAGGAGTCGCTTTTCAATCACCCTGACTTCAGCAGGGTGCATGGAACTCGTTTCCATCCTCTCTCCTCATCACTGTTGAGGACAGTCAATAGGCTGCTCAGCAGCTTCTCATGACCAACGGAGTTTTAAGGCAGCTTTAATGCTGCCAAAATGCACACAGAAGGTGTGTTAAAGTGACAAGGAAAAGTTATCTGACCAACGCAAAATAGGAGATTTCATGCCAGGCTAATACCCAGCCTTGAGGATACAGGAAATCTTACATATCAGGCTTTTCTAATTTTACTTTGTCTTCTCATTAAGAGTTACAAACTGAAACATGTAACTTTTCATACAGGTTGTAGCTGGCACAACTGGCAAAAGTTGAACAACTGATTCTTTAACAGCAGCCAGGAACTCATTAACTACACTTCCTCTTCCCTGAAAGAGGCATCAAATGACACACATAAAGAAAATACTTTACTCAGCCCATTACCAGCCCTGTATCACACTGTTTGTACTCAATTATTATGTTCTCCTACTGGTTCTACCATCTGGTTCAAAAACAAAACAAAAAAGCAGTTCTCCTACAAAGGCACTGCTCACTAGACAACAACTAAGGCAGCTAATTTCTACTGGAGGCTTTTCCTTCAATTAAAGTTTAAATGTAAGTCACTGTGCACCAGAGCAGTATGCAAGGCATATCTTGCTCCCACTATCCAGCTTTCTTAACATCTGCTGGTTTAACTTCTTTGTAGATTAGTTCAGGACTGGTGATTTAGAAGAAGATACATGGACAAACCCATCCCAGTTTTCATGGTGTTTCAACACTGCACACTCACCTAATGCTTTTCTGAATAAGATCACCACTAAGAAGACTTTACACTAAAGGACTCTAGAGGGACAATTCCTATGATGCAACTTTCTTACGCAATGCATCCCTTCAGTGGGAGCAGGGTTTAAAATATCAGCAGAAATGTTTAACACCTAGCCTCTTGAAAGAAGCTGGAGCTTCAGTTCCAAAGCTTATCAGTGTTTTGCCATATTCTCTCATCTAGTGATAGCTTAAGCTGACTTTGTTAAACAGTTCTGGTAAGCAGCCTGCATGTTCCCAGGAATTCAGGCATTCAAAGCAAACTAGAACATCCTTCTACCTTGCCAGAATATAGATCTATGTTCTCCTTTGCACAGACAAAGGAACATCAAAGTAGTCAGTTACCTGTCCCACTAGGCTGGATATTGATCTAAAAAAAACAACTAACCAAAACCAATCAACCAAAAAACAACAACAAAAACTTGTAGCCCAGTAGTAGGAGCACAGTAGCCCACAGCCAAGCACAGCAGCATCAGAGTGCTGTCATAGAAATATGACAGATTCCCTGTCTCTCACAGCCAGCTATTGCAACATATGTAAAGAGTAGTAAATTTCGAGATAAGAAACAAGCATCTGCGCAAAGGTCATGTAATTTCCAAGACACCTGCACTGACCTAGCCACCTGCAGTTTTCTTTAAATAGGCAAAACTCATTCCATTTATTTGCTTATCACTGTAAAGCCTCTCTAATAAACTTAATATCTGAAGCATTTAAAGACCTGTTATAAAAATTTGTGTGCCTATTCCACAATAGCAGAATCTTTACAAACCACGACACAGTAGAGGCTGCACTGTGACCCACAGTACTGAAACGACACCATTTGAATATTTTCAGCTGCCATCACTTCTCGCAGCTGCAGTCCACAACCTCAAGTAACCAGAATAATTTAAGTATCAGTGTCAAAGTCCCAGCCTTGCTCATAGAAAGAGGACTACTGTACTCTACAGGCTTCAGTATTTATGTTTTCAAAGCCTCGGCTTATATGGTAAGGAAGAAAAAACACATGGTTTTGTTTCCTTTAAGGAGACATTAGTGTCAATCCACCAATACGTCAACTTGGAAGATGCTGCAATCAAAAAGAGCATGAGTAAGGCACTCCAAATTAGAAACATGACAGATACAAAGAAATAAATAGACAATTACAAACAAACAGCTTAAAACAAAAATAATCAAAAAGAGCTATTAGTCAGAACCAGAGTTTACCAGAAAGGCATGGGCCTACATTAGTCTTCACTCTCATCCCTATCTACGAATGGGATTACGTAGCAGGACAGTTAAGGCATGCTGAGACTTTCTCCTTGCTGTGGCTGCTCCCAGGAACTGAAAGGGAATGGTATCTGCACTTCCTTGACGAGCGCCTAAACTGTGCTTTTTGCATCTGTTAAAAGGCTGAAAACATGACAACCAGCGCAAAGGGGTGATGCAAAGGTGATGCAAAATGATGCCTGGCTGACAGTGAGGGAGATGATACAGACGGTTAAACCTGAGTTTGCAGACTTGGCTGTGGGGAAACATTCCTGTGATTTTGACCAACACCTGCAAAGTGCTAGAGGAAGATAAAAGTGCTGTTGCTGATGGCACTGAAATATCCAGCTTCAATAACACTCATACAAAGGTTATTATTCAAAACTATGCACTAACTACACACGCAGCTCCCTGCTATTCATTCTCCTCTCTCTTTTGCTCACTGTATTGCATTTCAAAAAAATCACCTGCACATACCAGTGGGTGAGACATCGCTGTTCCCTGCGCCTACAACAGCCCACATCCCAAATGCTGCAAAGCACCAAGAGACTGGAAAGAGAAACATGTCAAGCTGATTTGAACACCAATATCTGAAAGGTATCAATGAGCTTACGACTGAAAAAGGAAATCTAGGAAGCTGGAAAAACTGCTTCGTGAAAGATGTGAATGCTGGCAAGATGGTGACTAAAAACCACATGGAAGGAGCATGAGGTTACAATATGGTATCACAATGCAAATATTTAGGGGCGCAAATTATTAGAGGAGAAAAATAAAGAGGAATTAAGGTGCCAGAGTTAGCTCTGACTTCAACCAGTGTCACTTATCAGAGCTCCACTACAGCTGGGAAGATTTATTCTGCTTTTTAAAGCAAAGGTAGTGAACTTTAAAACAGTAAGTAGGCAAACAAAAGCAGCACTGGACATATATTCAGATTTGGGACAGCACCAGTAACAAAGTTTTATACAATCAGAATTAAAGAAGTGAGCACAAAGTAATAAGCCTGGGATCTCCCCAGGGCATAAAAACACATGTCCCACTTTCCGGGACACTGCTTTGTCCATAAGATCCTAAACCACAGGAATAGGCAGTATCCATGCCATCCTCAGCTGAAGCCATTCCACTGCAGCGAGGGCAGCAAAGGCCACAAAAAGAAGATCCCTGCTATAGCTCCGCTGAATGCTATGCCATACAGGACAAAACGGAGAATTATTTATCTTAACTCAGTATTTTCCTCTCTATTCATTAAATGCAGCGTGCATAAGTATTCAATAGAGCTCAATCCAAATTTTAGAGTGATAACTCAGAAGAGCTTGTTTGCTTCATGGAACCTAGAAAGCTAATCTAGGCAGTTAGATGCCTTCTGATTTTTTTTTTTTAACAGAAAAACATTTTATATGTGACTATTTTTTTTAATAATTGTTACAACAAAGATAATACAGTTTCTTGTCACTGGCATCAGAGCTTCTTTAACAAAATGTACTTAATACTCCTTTAGTATGTTCTTTAAAGTGGAAACTTCTTAATATTTATGTAAGTACCAGTATTTTCCCTTAGCTCGGTTGTTTGCAATTGCAGCACCAGAAAAGGCACTTTTGAGACATTTTGATTTTTACTCTTAGAAATCATTTCATATTACTGAAAACTATTTGTTATTCTAGCCTAACATCTTATTTGCTCTAGAGAAGCATAGAATGTGAGCCAAAAATAAGACATCTATTAATGTAACTCCGTCAGACACTATCTAGAGCTACTTAAAGCTGTATTCCATCCAGGTCTTTGATTTAGAATATATTTGGCTCCTGATAGCCCATTCAGAGTGATTCAAAGTCACCTGGTTTGAAACAATAGCTTGACTTAATCAGAGAGTAGCCCAGCACCTAGCCCTAAACTTCCAGGTTTTTGTGGAAGTGCTTGGAATATGAAAGCTTTCTCACAATTCATCAATACATAACTGTTTCTCATATCTGCAGCCTACATGTTAGACAACATTCTAAGATATCGGTAAGACATCTACAAATCATGTCCAAAATCTTTCATCTTCAGAGAGGGAAGATTTAAAAAGTTGTTTGATATGAGCTGCAAATGAGAAAGTCCACCTCAAAGACTTCCACCTGCACCGAGCTGTTATTTGAAAAAAAATTACTTATTTTTACACTGCTGACTGCAAATACACATGATAGCTTGAAAAAAAATCCAGCGGCCCAGTTGCCAACACCAAGCTGGAAACTTGCAGATAGGAAGCTTAAGCTTTTACAAAGTGTAAGGATGAAACTCAACAGAGTCATTTACCTGAAGGCCAAGCAGTGGGGTCGGGG